TATATAGTTTACTCAACATCTACTCTTAAAGAGAGTCTTGTTCTTGAGTGTTCTTAGTGTTGTAAACACGTTTAGGGAAGCTTGTTTCCCTTGGTTGTACGAAGGAAAGGTATTTTCCTTCGGGTTGAAGTCTTGGAGTGCGGTATCTCCGAGCAAGTGTATTGAGGCTCGTGGGACTCGAGTTCTCAGGTTCTAATGGTTTGTTAAGCACCCGTAAGCTTAACGGAAGTAGTGTAGCTCGAGAGAGTCTCTCGAGAGGCTGGATTAGCCACAAGTTGTGGTAAACCAGGGTAAATCTTGGTGTGCTCCCTTTACTCCTTTTTTATTCCGCTCTTTACTTTATCCCTGTGATTTTTATTCCGCGAAAATTTATAAACATTCTCGTGCCTCACTATTCACCCCCCTCTAGTGAAGGACACTTATTCTAACAGAGATATCACATAAGCTTTAAAAAACAAATGGAGTGCATAAAGAAGTTAGAAATATTTGAATAAATCGTTAAATTGATATTTCATTTAAGATGTACAATAATTGTATTTTAATTTATTAATGTTTACTTTCTATTATTATACATGGATATTTTTTGTAATTTTTATTTATTTTTGACTATAGTATATGTTTGCAATGAAAAGAGGGTTTTCTTCTAATTAAACCACGTTAGATTACATATATTTATTTTAACAGTGTGACTATTTTTTTATTTTGTTCAATGCCTTGCATGTGGAATACCACGAACTTAATGTTGTACGTCCAATAAAATGTTTTTTAGAAATTTTTAAGTGAGTAATTAGAGCATAATGTTTTTAATGGCATTTGAAATTTCAAGTTCATAATAGGGAACCCCTCCCATCATAATATGTCTTCTATTGATTATTAAATGTTATTATGAATTTTAAAAGTAAATATTTTAAATGTTGAATGAACCGATGTATGTCTCCCAGGCTATATTTGGCAGGGGCGCCCTCGGGCCATGTTCAAATGCACAGGGCCCAAAAAAGACCAGGCCCCAATTATTTTTTAGAGAAAGTAGTATACTAGTATGTAATTAAAGGCCCAAAATGGCAAAAAAAAAGGAGAAAACTCTTCATATCTACGTGTCGCCTCCCATCGCGGCAAAGAGAACCGGAAGAAGTGAAGAACGAAGGTGGAAGGTCTAAGACAGAGGAAGAAGAAGATTTGCGTCGCGCCGTCGCCTCACATCTACGCCGTCCAGCACTTCTCCATCCGCTAATTACACTTTAGTCTTCAGGTATGATTGTATGAACATATATATGATTTTTATTGATTTTAATGATCAAATCCCTAAATTTTTTTTTAGTTTTTAAATGTGCGATCTATGTTTTCATCTTCTATAGTTGAATACTTTTATGAAATTTGATTTTTAATTACAATGATTAATAAATTATAATTTGATAAAAAACAGTTTTTTTAAATTTTTCTTCTTTTAAAAGTTTTTTTTTTGCTAATTGTTTCAAAATCTTCAAATGATTAAGCACTTTAGCAATTTAGCCAATTTGAGATTTTAGGATCCTCTAAAAACATCTATTTGTCACTGCCTGGGTTATTTTTTATCAAAATATAAATAAACCTACTACATGGTTCTCATAATATTTTTATACTACACTTGTAGAATGGTTCCTAGAAAATGGGTCTCAGGCTATGAAAAACGTAAAAAGAAAAAGAGACTTGAAGAACGTACAATGTCCCAGAGAGAATGTCTGCTTTTATGTGCAAAGAGAATGTCACTTTTTATGTAAACTGGTAGTGATGTTTTCTTCCTCATTATAACAAATTCAATAATTAGTATGAAACTTCTTTAAATTTAACTTTTATCATATATGATAGTCAATAGAGGCCAACTTTTTGTTTTCGCACAGGGCCTGTTTTTTCTTCGGACCAGCCCTGATATTTGGCCACCGACTTTCATAAAAAAATACTCCCTCCGTCCTATAATGTTCTTCCCGTTTGTGTTTACGAGGTTTGACCGACTTTATTTTCAATTCAATTTATTTGATTGTAGGTGTAAAATTAAAAAATAGAATTTATATATTTAAAAACTAGATCAAAAGTTCTACAAAACAAGTGGTGTCAAGACTATATTATTTTATCAATTACCTAATGAAAATAGGTAAAGAAAGTGATTAAAATTTGACCATATGAAAAGTTACTGGAAAAAACATTTTAGGACGGAGGGAGTAACACACATAAACATACGCACAAGTTTATTACTAGTTATTTTTTATTGCCACATTTAAAATTTTATTTAAGCTGCATAACTTTTACATTTACAATGGGGTGTATTATTTATTTTAATAGTCACCTCAAATAATAAATAAAAGGATTTCCCGTGCATCGCACGGGTGAACAACCCAAATTTTAAAGATAAAACTTACATAAAACTTATATTCTGTTCATAATTTTGTTTGAAGGATGGTGATTGATGCGGACACTTTGATGCAAAAGTATCCTAATGTTTCTCAAGAAGAAATTGACAAATTCCGAACAATTGCTTATTACCCAGCTTTTAGTGAGTTCCGCTTTGAGCATAGGGTGGCTGAGCTTCACCGTATGAGAGAAGAAGAAAAGAAACATGGTAAGCAAGCTTTTCTAGTAGGACCCTTGGTCCAACTGATTTCAGTACAATTTCTACCTGCAGTAGATAATTTGGATCGAAACCAATCTTTCACCATTTATGGTCAAATATATGCTGAATTCCCTGATACCACTAGTGAAAATTGGATTGTCCAAGATTTCTACAATCGGAAGAGTAGTGATGCTCAAGTCCTTGAAAAAGATGGCTTCTTAACTCTGATTACCCCAGATTGTTCTCGTTGGCCATTTAATGCACACATGGAGCATGCTAGGCTGGTTGTAGATGTTTATGCGGGGGATGAGAACATATGTGCTCAGTTTGGTTGTGCTGATGATGTGAATGACCAGGAGCATCTTAAATGGAAACGAATCCATCGTGGTTTTGGTTCCCTTGTATTGTGCTACAGTGTTATACCATTTGCTATTTATGGTCGTGTAAAGGTCTGCTTCATTCGTAAGCAGGGTTGCACACAAAATGTTGATAATCATTTTCTTAAAGTGAATGGAAAAGTTGTTGCTCGTTCTTGCAACAGTTTTGATGGTTATACGCTTTTTGATAAGAAGCCTAATGAATTTGAAGAAGTAGAAACTAGTAATCGGGGAAAGTTGAACATGTCTAGAAGTTGGGTTGGTTTGTCGGCCAATACGTCCCTTATCATTGACATTCACTTATCAGAATACGGAACGGAGCACGAAATTCTTAGAAAATCTTTAGACGTGCAAATCCGAAATGATGTTCCGTGTGGTGATGACTTCATCATAGGTGACATTTGTATAAATGTGTCTGTGTTATGGTACTCGCCTAACCAGGGAAGGTGCTTCAAGGAAAATTCTGGAATGTTGCTCGATAGTGTGGTACTTTCTATCTCATGCTTATAATTTCTTCATTTGATCCCTTATCTTCTTTCTCTTTTCGCTTTGAGGCTGACATTTATTTCTATCTTCTTTTTCTCAAGTCCTCTAGTCATGAATTATCTTCACAAGAAACCAGCAAAGAAGAGGATGATGGTGATGACGAAATGAGTGAGGTACCTTCTATCTCAACGCACAACTATTGTCATATACTATTCAATTCTCCTTTTTTTATTCAGGTCTGATATCCATTTCTCCCTCTGCATTTACACAGTTTGGTGATACTGAAGGGCCATCAAACATTAGCCGTTGTTGGTATGTCAAACTCTCTTGTTTGTTCTAGTGAGTAGCTATCAGATGCTTTGCTAATCTTTTAAGTTGAGCCTGTGGCAAGTTGCACCCTTGGGAGAGTGAGATTGCTAGTTTTGATATGATTGTTTTGCTGAAAAAGCTGGAAATGGAAACACTATAAATATAGAATCTTGAGGATTGAAGTTGGGGATCTTATGGGGAATATTAAAAGTGGTACCCAAATAAGCTGATGTATTGATTCTCGTTGAGCCATTTTGTGTTGCTTCAATAATTGTGTTCTTTTTCTGTGTGCTTTTTGTTCCATTCATTAAATCTTATAAATAGCTATTGCTGGAAAGTTACAGAACAACAAATGGGAACACAACATCGGTCTTTCCAACTGATTTCCCCAAAGTAGCTATAAATCAGACCCCGTTCTCCCCCTCCCCCCCTCTTCCGCTTAAGTCCTTTATCCTTTGGTGATAGTCTTTGTAAAGTTTGGTGGTTTTGTGTGCTTTTAATTTGTATCCAAATATTTCTTTTCAGGAAATTGTGTCCGCATCTGGACATACCATTACCGTCCAGTGCATTGCAGATATTCTCTGTCTTTATTGGCCGAGAGAAGCTGAAGGCTTTGCAAATATATGGCTCGATTAAAGTTTTGTCTCCTCCATGCTCCTACTACATTTTCAACAAAGAAGCTAGTGGTGCCTTTGGATTAGAGGAAGGTTATAAAACTATTCCAGTACTACATGGCCCAGGAGTGCGTGATGACTGCCGGACAGTGAAAATGAAATTTGACTTGAAAGATCGAAGTAGTCCCTTGTATATTAGGGGTCGTCTAAAATTGCATTGGAGCTTGTTTACTAATAGCCCAACATGGAATGAAAAACTACTATGCTCCGTTGTTCAAGGTGAGCATGGTTTTGCTGCAGTGCATTATGCTCTATTTTCTGAGGCGGTCCAAGCAAATGTTCAGGTATTTTGCAAATCAAAAAATGAAAATGTTGATTTCTCTCCTAAGGTTTTTGGGAGTCTGGTTGCTCACTACAGCATCTATGATTATACATCCCGTTATAATAAAGATTTCTTTCGAATCGTTCTTTTCGAGAGAGATCAAAGGGATCCAGCACAAGTAGTAGGGACTGAAGGGGTGATATCACTTGCAAGGCCTTCACTTGTTGTCCCAATGGGTTCCACTCTTATTGTTGCAGCCAATCTGTTTGGCGGAGTTTCTAATCAAGGCTTCAAAGAATTTCGGATTGGTTCTTCTAGTCCTTTAGTCATGGAGGGAGAGAATTACAATATTTATGTTCATGTGAAGTGGTGGGGGGACGTGAGTGTTTAAATTCATATTCTTGAGCATCCACAACCATCTGAAAAGCTTCAGATGCAAAATCCAATATCACATGAGATTGGGTTGGGGTTTTTTTTTTATGGTTAAGTTTGATGAATTATGATCTTTGCTATGTATGTAGTAGAACTCAATCAAGCTTCATGTTATTTCGTGGTTTTAAGCTTCAGTCTTTGAGCTTTTTATCTTTTTTCCATTGCATGCTATGGTAGTGTATTGAAAGACTGGAAGGTTATGGGCAATGTATGCGGTGGGAGTGATCATTTTCACTACCTGACTTCTACTCTTCTGTTTCTTTCCCTCAGGCATGAAATGTCTGGATGAATGTGTGCGATGTTAGGTATGTTGTGCATCAAATATTTCTAAAACATTGCCACCCATAAATATGTTTTGGAGCAATTAATGAATCTATTTACACAAATAGTCTTGCTGTTTTTCAAGAAGAGTAATCATAAGACCACAGGCAGCAGCATGTATTTTGCTTGCCCCGCCCTGCCCAATAGTTGAGAGAGAAGAGATACGAGGCTTGGCAAGCCGTTTTACCCTGCCCAATAGTTGAGAGAGAAGAGATACGAGGCAGCCTCTTCCTAATTTGTTTTTTTTTTTGCACAAGAAAGAATGGTATATATATAAAAAAAAATGCATCAATTTTTAGTAAAAAAGATAAGTGAAATAATTTTTTATAATTAAAATTCGTTTAAAAAACGATAAAAATAATAACTTATCACTGCATGATATACCACTCAACTCGCTTGGCACATACTCACTGGACTTTTACTGATTGCATAAAATATATCATGTTACCGTGTGACATTCCAACAAAAGTATAATTTGACATCAACATTATGTCCGGTGAAAAAGGAACTGATGGAAAAAGAACACATCACCGGACATAATGTTGATGTCAAATTATACTTTTAGTCTTTAAATTAATACCAACATGGCGGAAGATCAAAAAAGGACCATTTGTGGAAAGGCGCCCTTAAAAAAAGGATTACGGGGGTAATATTTGATAATAAAGGACTAAATATGGAAACCTCCTTGTTATAAAGGAACAATTATGGAATTTACTCTTTTCTAAAAGAGGAATCATAAACGCACAAACAAAATTACAGCAAAGTAAATTAAATGTCCTCCCTTTGTTTTTTTTTAAAAAATTTATTGCTCAGGAACGCACAAACAAAAAGAGGAATCATAAACTTTTTTTAAAAAAAATTTATTGCTCAGCAAATTCTAATTGCTTCTATTTTTTATTTAAGAAATCAAAACATAGTGTTCTTTATCTCCAATTTAAATCTTAAAAAAATCAAGAGTACGTTTTTCAATTTAGAGTGCATACCTGTGGAGACATGGGCGCATAATTATTGTTTCTCTTTCATTTGTTTTTTTACTTGTAATACTATTTCTTACGGAGTAAACATTATTCAGAATAATCTTACCTCTGTTCAAATGTGTATGTGAGTGGCTTGGATCGCCGTTAAACCGCTTACGTGCGTTAACAAAAATAATCTGCTTTGCGTAATAAAATGAACAGTGTGACTATTTTTATTATAATTTTTTGTTTTTTTTAATATTTTTCAATTTTTTTTAAAGATTAGTCTTCACAAATAAAAAGGGAATAATGGTTTCATAATAATGACTTGGATAATGCTACTTAGAGCATCTCCAACCATAGCATCTTAGTTTCCTAAAAGTTACTCCCTCCGTCCAAAATTAAACTTCTCGGTTTGACCGGGCATGCATATTAAGAAAAAATGTAAATGTAGTTGACTTTCCCAAAATACCCCCATCCCTCTAACTTCTTTGGTCGCCCATCTTTCCGGCCTGCCGTCCGCCCTTTCACGTCTTTGGTCTCCCATCCTCCCTACTGTGCTCCATAGCTCTATACACTGGCCATGAAATACGCACAAGCAATTGGGCAGATCGGACGGCTGCCTTGATGTTCCACCCATACCTCCAATAGTCCCATCACTGCTCTACTGTGTGTCACCTTCGACTGCAGTCTTGCCGCTCCACCGTCACTTCCGCCAACTGCTTCAATTTCAAAAAGAAAAAGGAAGAAACCTGGGGTCTCTACCTTCTAATCCAACATGTGCCTTCAATTGCCGCTCTTTACTCCGTCATTGCTATAGGATGTCGCCATCTCCATCTTCATCTAAGATCTAGATTGGAATCATCAGATCTGTAGAGATATGATACCTCTTCATCAGATCTGTGTATAATGATGATACTGCAAGGTGGAGGAAGAATAAAAGAAAGAAAGAGAGAGAAAAAAAGAAGAAGAAAAGATTGAAGAAGAAGAGGATATATTGGGTGGACGGGAGAGAAGAAAAAAAAGAAGGAAGAGGGATGGCTCTATAGAATCGGAAGGGATAGAAGAGAAAAGAGAAAAAAAGAAAAAAGGAAAGAGGAGGAAGAGTGGAGAAAGAAGAATGAAAAGGAAAAAAACAGAACCGAAAGCAAGAGGAAGGAGAAAAGAAAGAAGAAAAGAAGAAAGTAGGGGGTTGGTTGCTGGCTTGACCGGAGAAAGAAAAGAGGAGTGGGAGGGCAATAGAGTCTTTTTAACCTAA